CGCTCTACCATTCGATCACGCAATTCCTGCAGGTCTATATAGTATTAAAATATTCAACAATCTAGCTTGGATAAAAGTCACAATGCTAATATTGTACCCCAGTCGTTTCAGCATGATAGCACTTGTGTCTAGTTACTAGAGATAACGTATTGATAAAAATACTTGAGATTCACTGAAACCCAATGTGTGGTTGTAATAAATAAATTAACAGTGTATCTATAGTGCATAATGTAGTAAATAGTCAATACATAATTACGATAAAACATCCGAAAAACAACACACAAAATACGACCTCATTTACGTCCTCGATAAAAAATTCACATTCCGCTGTGGGGTAGACTTTAGAGGTGGAACAATTGACTTCTACGTAAAGCTTGTCGTGTAGTCTAAAGATTGGTGTGTTACATACAGGTTTTTCTGGGGCATCTGAAGCACAGAAATATACGATATAGGCCTTTTTTAAATGCAATGTATAAATAAGTAGGTTGGTCTATAAATACTCGTGTATATTTTATTTTAAAGTTATCTATGAATTTATTTTAACTTAAGTTGAAAATAAATAGGCTACATCGAAGCCCTAAGTTGAATTATTTAAACTACATGCATTTGCACGTATATATTTATTCACATATATCCTACATGTGTGTGTCTGTATGTGTGATTGAGTGATTGTGTATTTTCAATTTACAAATTCCATTTACTTGCTTATTGAGATGCATATATCCTATCTTCAGATGCTATAAAGCTAGAACAGCTTTTAAAGGAGTGACTCGAGATCTTTGACCATACTCTGTCTTGTTTGATACCTAAGAGAAACCCCATAACCCATGTGTATGAACAGACTCCAACTTACGATACAGGGACAGATTCCAATGGTTAATCAACCCAAACACGAACGTGTATTCACAGCTCCACACGCCTTCAAACGACGGGGTCTCTCGTCTCGTGTCGGTCAGGGTCAGGCTGCTGACCCCTCCCAGCCTGTTGGCCACGTACTGTCCCTGGCAGATGTTGGCCTGGTGCTGGCATGTCGCCACCACGTTCCCGTCGTGTTTCCAGACAAGTGACACACGGCTGTGACTGTCTTCACAGGTTAACGTTTTGTTAGAAGCTTCTTCTACCAGCTCATGGTTGAGTGAGACTGTATAGATATATATACATACTTTATTCTCACAGGAAAAGCACACGTGTAGGTGCTTGTTTATATATTTAAATGCTAAGGAAATGTTACATATGCTTACACATGCATATGTATACTTATGCATACGCACATTCTGTTGGAAAAAGATGCACTCTAAACGCATATAATATGCATGTGCATGTACACGAAAATGCACATTCACATTCACATTCACATTCACATTCACATTCACATTCAAATTCACATTCACATTCACATTCACATTCACATTCACATTCACATTCACATTCACATTCACATTCACGTTCACGTTCACGTTCACGTTCACGTTCACATTCACGTTCACGTTCAAATTCACATTCACATTCACATTCACATTCACATTCACATTCACATTCACGTTCACGTTCACGTTCACGTTCACGTTCACGTTCACATTCATTCACATTCACATTCACATTCACATTCACATTCACATTCACATTCACATTCACATTCACATTCACATTCACATTCACATTCACATCCACATCCACATCCACATCCACATCCACATGCACATGCACATGCACATGCACATGCACATTCACATGCAAATTCACATGCAAATTCACATGCAAATTCACATGTAAATGTAAATGCTAATTCAAATGCAAATGCACGTGCAAATGTACATGCACATGCGCAAGCATAAGCACAAAGCACCTCCACAGGCACCTGCAAATACAATTGCAAATGAGCGCTAGCACTAAAGCATGTACAATAACATGCACATATGCATATGAATATGCATATGTGCATGTAATTGCACAAGCACATTAACATCACAGACATCATACTAACCGTTTTTCTCATCTGAAGAACTAAACAGCAAGAAGAAAACAACAACCACAGAAAACATTTTTTTCATTCTGTAAAAGTTTTTACTTTCACCGCCTAGCCTTGATATAAAACATGAACAATTCACTTAAATAACAATTCTATTACGGCTAACCATCGTTGGCTGTTATCAGACATCGTTACGTTTTCTCCACTTGTAAAAATCATCTGTGCTAAATTATCTCCCCTTAACATGTTGGTTGGGCGGTTATCTCACACTGACTGTTTCATGCAAGTGGGAATAGATAATCTCTCACAAGTCTCAACAAGTGCTGTACTGTTTTTAGAGCTACCTGTAATGTATATTCGTGTGTGTGCAATGTTTCACTTCAATTAAAATAGTACTGACAAGATAGGGTTATTACCGTATACCGTTGCGCCATAAGGTTGGGGCGGGGTGTGTGGCTCGCACATGGTGACACCAAGGGGGTTCGAGCTTCTCGGTTTAGCAACCATGATCTTTACCAACCCAACCACACCGACCCCATTTACACATGCGTATACTATGCAATGACGATCATAAACCGAAAGTTTAAAAACTGGTTGAAAAAAAATTAAACTTACCTTCGCCTATTTTTGTTTTGTTTCGCACACTCAGTATTCCAAACGTCAAAAGGTATTAAACATAATTTTATCTGATTAAATAACTAAAAAAAACTCGAATTTTTACTGAATGTCTCTCGCAAAATAATTTTTAAGCGATTTCCATATTTTAAAGGGATATTATAGATAATGTCAGATTGGTCGGAAAATATTGGATTGTCTCCCTTTAAAAATAAAACATCAAGCCACCTGTTAGGATACTGACAATGTTAGCCCATCTAGTCTATATTCGATTCTTTAATCATCTCTCATTTACAATAAAAATTTGTTTAAACATGTTAATTTCTTTCGAATATTTTGGTGTTAAAGTTATCTATCAAAATATGTGACGTAACAACGTTTGTCACATTCCCGCATTCGTCACACATGATCATTTAAGTCCGACAACCACCCCCCCCCTCCCCCACCCGCTCCCCCACCCCCTCCCCCACCCGCTCATTGGAGTGTATATCATATCTGCACAACCTCTTACAAAGCATTGATATAAATTGTAGTGTTATACCATCGCTTTAATTATTTCTTTGATAAAAAAGAGTATATTCATAGTATTAAATTCCGCAACTTTTTTTGGGTTAATTTACTATGTGGGTTTTCAAAAATCCAAACGCATTACATTTGTATTCGCTAAATAAGTGATGAGTGCCAAATGTCTTCTGTCTGGATATGTAAATATGCGTTGTGTACAGAGTTTCTTTCAGGCATTTCTTTCCGAAGCACGTCCTCCGCCCTCAACCCCCACCCCACTTCGTCCAGGAGGATCTCTAAAAACAATCTACAATTTTTACAGAAATTTAAGTGCCCCCTCCCCCATCCCAGAAAAGTTTCAAGGTTCCCCCCCCCTGTCAAATACCGAAGAAAAATATATGAAAGAAACGCTGGTTTAGGTATCAGAACATTTTATTATTAGACTTCTTTCTTCTTCTTCGTTCTTATCTGCCTTATTATTAGACTAGATTAGGAATAAGTGAGCAAAAAAATTGATGATCTAAGCAATAAAGGTAGCAGAAACTATCGAGTATGTTGTGTACTCATATATATATATATATATATATATATATATATATATATATATATATATATATATATATATATATATATATATATATATATATATATACAGTTGCATATATACCGAAACTTAAATGTGGTGAATTGATTAATAAAAAAATTCTAAATATATAAATGACTTTACGAACTGGATAATTTGCAAAAGCTAAGAATTAAAATACTTAATTAAATATTACTGCAATCTAGCTAGTAGATAATATATGTTTTATCTGCTAGGCTAGGCAGAGGCGTAGCAACCTATTGCGGCGTCCGGGGTGAACTATCAATTTTCGCCCCCCCCCCCTAATTATTCATACATACTTGTTTTGTTTCAATAATAATAACGCCCCCCCCCCCCCCTCCACAATTTATAATGGTGGTGGCGTTTTTACCACCTACTTTCTCTTTTTATTACTTTTTTTTTCTATTTTTCTTTTTATTTGACGTGGGAAGCAGTTAAGTAAGTCCGTAAAGCTATGTAGCAGTCTACTTTCTTAACCTCGACTGCGAATAATTCAGTAAGACTGCTTAGAATAAGCTTTTAATATACCTTTCTATCCGGTTTTGCTCCCCCGTATTGTCGGCGCACGGGCGGACTCCCCACCCGCCCTCCCCTCGCTACGCCTCTGAGATTAGGCGGGTAATATGGTAAACTTGTATCACACGAATACGTCTATCTGATTATCGGGAATTCAGATTAACTAAAAATAGACGTGGTATTTTCTTACTAAGATAAAGTCATGTGACTTCCTGGATAAATTTTCCTAGGCTCGAACACAAAAACAATCCAGTTGTTTTTTATATCACGCCTACGTTTACCACTAGATAGATATTATTGATGTTTTAGTCTTAGCTTAAATCCTAACGTGTTTGTAAGGGTTATGTTTTAATCAAAGTGATTTTGACACTGTGATGGCGGGCGAGCTATATTATACAAGTGACCCAGTTTTTATAGCTACTCATTTGTTCGTACCATTTTCATTTTTAAATATTTATTATTGTTAATTTAGATCTAGATGTAGGTCAAGATGAAGTAGTACGATAAACTATATGGTTGTTATCTAGATCTAAATTAAGAGATTCGAGTGGTTTTCCGCTCCCTTCAACTTTCGTCAAAGCAATATTGTTACGTGTAAAGTAGGTCAAAACGATTACCGCAGCCTGCGTGTAATATTTAACACAGCACTGTGAGCTACGGGTAACACTAGCGTAATGTGTTGACGGGAAATGTAGGACATTTTACAAAGTTAAGGGGAGGTAATGCTTAACTACAATTATAATAATCTTAAATATACGTGATGAGCACAATACTTTATAGTGTCTAATTTCCAATAAGAATATTATAAATAATTTAATTAGTTTACATTTATGAGAGGGAATATTGCAGAAGATAATTGTTTTGAGTGTATTTTAATATTCTATAAACTTAAGCGAATAGCATTAGTAAACATATAACTTTTTTTTTATTTAACTTTTTTGCGATTTTTTTTTATCAAACGATTGAAATCGCGCAGTAAACGTTAATGATAGTTACACAATCTTTGTATTATCAAAAGTGATACCACTGAGATTTAATTACTGTACATAAAATTTATGACCATGTGGTTGAAGTTATAAAAATTACAAAAGAAACTGTTATAATTGTTTAAATGTTTAAAGTAAATGTATTAAATATATATATATATATATATATATATATATATATATATATATATATATATATATATATATATATATATATATATATATATATATATATATATATATAATGTAGCTGTTTGAAAGGGAAGAATGTTTGATTTGATTTGTCTCGTTGTACTCAACATATAATTCAGATACTTATTTCATATTATTTTTCTTTACTTACACATTTTTCTCAGCACTAGTTATAAACCCATAGCCCCTCAATCATTCGCGTAATATATTGTCAAAACCATCTTCACTTTTGATACGTATCTTGTATAAAGCTAGTTCAAAATAAAACTGTGCACCTTTTTAAAGTCGTGATTTACCACACCTACAACACAAGCCTTACACACCGACAACACATGTCTTACACACCGACAACACATGTCTTACACACCGACAACACATGTCTTACACACCGACAACATGTCTTACACACCGACAACATATGTCTTACACACCGACAACACATGTCATACACACCGACAACACATGTCTTACACACCGACAACACATGTCTTACACACCGAAAACACATGTCTTACACACCGACAACATGTCTTACACACCGACAACATATGTCTTACACACCGACAAAATATGTCTTACACACCGACAACACATGTCTTACACACCGACAACACATGTCTTACACACCGACAACACATGTCTTACACACCGACAACACATGTCTTACACACCGACAACACATGTCTTACACACCGACAACACATGTCTTACACACCGACAACACACGTCAGCTGATTTCGTGGATCAAAGTAACCATTGACAAAAACAAAGACAAGAATCTGTATAGCGTCTATCTCTAATTTCTCTTTCTTGACAAATATATAGAGATTCTTTTACTTTCTATTCTATTATCAATTTTGTACCATATAATAACCGTAATTAGCCATAGTAAACCTTTTGAAGCCAGCGGTCAATGGGCAGATGAAGTAGAGGTCACCTGTTTCTGTGGTATCGTTCTTTAAAGGGATAATGTAGTCAACACAATGTCCAGTCTTTCCATAACGTGATTCAAGTACCTTTCATAGCTGGCTTGACTCAGAAACGTCCTCGGAATCGGACCCGGGATCCGAACTCGAGAATTTCGGGTAAGCAGTCATACGTTCTACCATCCAACCACGCTATTTACCGCCGTTCAAACATTGTTGTGTAATATTAAGACGCAGAACCGTTCATCATACAACCATCTAACCATCTTTTCTTGCGTTGTTTCTAAATCAATTCATAACTTAAAGGCCGAATTCAGAAATTCTAAAACACTTAGCATTCTAACCAAATAAATTCATAACTTAAAGGCTGATTTCAAACATTCTATTCCGAGCCTTAGCATTTTTTTCTAAATCAATTCATAACTTAAAGGCCAAAATTCAGACATTCTACTCATTGACTTAGAATTTTTTCTAAATCAGTTCAAAACTAAAATGCTGAACTCAGACATTTAACTCAATCACTTAGCATTCGAACTAAATCAGTTCATAACTTAAAGGCTTTTTCGGACATTCTACTCTATGACTCAGCATTCTATTCACGGTAACATACGTATATTTTCGCAAGTCAAGTATTTAAAACTATAATAGCTTAACAATGAGATGATGTTTCATTATATCTACATGAGATAAAACACTGTTATCTAATGACATTTTACCTCGCAGTTTTGTGCATTCAACATAAATAATGCCAGCTGATATGAGCAGATTCCTAGCACTTGTGCTGGTAGCTGCTGTGGTGATCAATGTGGTAAACCCTTCACAAGTTCTCACATGTAAATATACTTAGACATCATGATACATATATATATAAATATAAATATAAATATATATATATATATATATATATATATATATATATATATATATATATATATATATATATTTATTTATTTATTTATTTTTATAGATACATATATATTTATTTTTATTTTATATATATATATATATATATATATATATATATATATATATATATATATATATATATAAGGGACGTAGTGACTTAGCGGTAGAGAGCTAGACTGCTAACCCGAGAGTCTCAGTTCGAATCAGGTTTAAAATCATTGGGACGTCCCTGAATCCACCCAGATCTGATGGGTACCTAGCTTAGGTTAGGGAAAACAAAGGCGGCTGGGCATAGCGCTGACCACACTACCCCTTCATATGCCGTGGTCTCTGAATCAGATGAACTCTACTTCATCTGCCCCGTGTGTCTTGGGCACGAACGGCATTAAAGGGTTTCAACCTCCAAATTGAAATCAGCGAGTTAGGACAATTCCAAATCATTCGAAAGTTGTAAATAACAAAATATTTAAAAAAAACCTAAATCGCTAAAAATTCATGATGTTATTTAAAATTTTACTAAAATATTGCATTTTTAGGGGGAAAAAAAAGCCAAATTCATCATTAATTAATTTTTTGTTTGTTATTTTAAAAAAACAAAACGACATAACAGTCGTGACAGAACGGATAGATTGTCCACCATACGAGGAATCAAAAGACGTGGACTTCATATGTCCAGACAACCATGCCCGTAAAACCTTAGTCTGGCGACACAACGGCTTTCAAATAGCCTGGTGCAACTCAACAAATTGCTCGTCTAACTACCAGGTGGTTCGCACAAATAGGACCAGCGTTCTCTACCTTTCCAATCTGGATAGGAAGGCGCCATCGTATGAGGGGCTTTGGAGCTGCGGATATGTCAATGCATATGATTCATCCTACCAGGAACTGTATCACTGCAACTTAACCATCTACCGTAAGTAAGGCTTTTCGTGATATTAATAGGGCTGGTAAGTAGGTCACCAACCATTTCTACGGCGCAATGAAACTTGCATGAGCCATAGAACTTGTTGGTGACCTACTTACCAGCCCTATTAAGATAACGTCAGCTCGATTTGCGATATGTACGCCTAAAAGTTGTATAATAAATGTACTCAGCAGAGGCGTAGCGAAGGGGGGGGGGGGCAGGGGGGGTACATATGTCTCCGGGCGCCGATCTTAGGGGGCGCAATAATGGGTTGGAAAAACAAATTAAAATCTAATTTTAGCTGCATTGTTGCTTTATAAATTAAATGTAAAAAATATGGGAGCCGGACGTTTTCCCGAAAGACAATTGCCCGAATGCCGTTTGCCCGAAGGCCGATTTCCCGAATGGACACTTGCCCGAAGTGCATTTGTCGCATTCGGGCAAGTTCCATTCGGGCATTTGTCGCATTCGGGCAAGTGTCCATTCGGGCATTTGTCGCATTCGGGCAAGTGTCCATTCGGGAAATCGGCCTTCGGGCAAACGGCATTCGGGCAAGTGTCTTTCGGGAATTTGTCGTAGACCCAAAAATATATGCGGAGGGGGGGGGGGGTGGGGGGTGTTCAAATCGAAAGTTTGAGGCGGTGCTAATTGAAAGTTCTATGGGGGGTGCAAAAAGAAAGTTTGAAAATTTAAAGGTTGATCCCGAGGGGGCGTCAAATTGAAAATTTGTCCCGGGCGTCGTGAAGGGTCGCTACGCCTCTGGTACACAGACAAGGATATAAGGATACACCAGTACGTATACCTGTAAACATAATCACGTACATTGTGATATACATATACGTACGCATACACACACTCGTGCAAAAATACTAATAATGTATTGATATGCATACGGGCATTTTGAAGTGAAAGTTGAAAATGTCATACAGAGAATGGACGAAAACATTGTGTTTCCTACTCTCAATATTTTTTTATATTTATAATTAGAAATAGTAGCTAAAATGAGCTTATTTTGCCCCCCCCCCCCCCCCCCCCCCCCCCCGTCGCTACGCCTTTGATTGGGGGTGAGAATGTAAACCTTAGGGCAATAATTATAGTCTTCTTTTAAAGCTCTACATACGAATTATTTCTACTTGCTGTGCAACGGGAAGGCAACCTATGCAACCGTACACCGTTACAAATAACAGCCCTGAATCGTTCCAAAAACACTATCTTTAAATACGTGTTCAGGCGGTAGGGGATTTAAATACAAACATATGACTATAGTTCGGAAAAACCCGATTATAGTACGGAAAAACCCGATGACCTGAATGAATGTGTTACTGTAGTTATTTATAGACCCAGCTAAGATATTATATTATGTGTTTCAGATGCGCCGGAAAAGCTGAAGTGTGACACACCGGGGCTGACACGACAAGGGCGACAAGTCTTCGTGTTTGTCAACTGTTCAGCTTTCAACCTTTACCCTCAAGCCAAATGTACTTTCTTCAGACGTGCTGATTTGGGCGATGATGTACGAGCAATTTATAGCGGATTACGTACAGAGTTTCTTCCAGGCATCTCTTCCGGGGGGACGGGACGACGGACGGACAGACATAGTCGCCCCTCACCCCCCCCCACCCCCCGAAGAAAGTCTACCGCCCCCCCCCCCGAAGAAATTTTACCGCCCCCCGCCTCCGAAGGAAAGGGAATGTATATAGAAAAATATATACTTTTAACAGTGTCCGGCCCCCAATCCGAAAATTTAGTCTGCCGCCCCCCCCCCCCCCCAAATTCAAAGTGCCCCCCCCCCTCGGAGAAAAAAAGTCTGGAAAAAACACTGATTACGTACTTAGTGATTTAATTTTTTTCAATTTAAACACTATGTGGTTATTCTTCCTGGGTCGATAACATGCAAACCTAATTTCACTCAATGCTGCCTGACAGATTTTTATAGAAATAATACATATGTCAACATCCGATGACAATGCAATGTGACAATTTTTTTGAAAATGTAGATGTTACATTCGACTTCATTTTTAAAAATTAAAAAAAATTAAGTATTAAGTTACTTTTCTTAATTATTAAACAATAGGCCTAATTTTGTGTTTATAAATACGTCAATTATAAAAAGTTTTTTTTTTTTGCTATTGTTTGTACTAAAATAAGCAAATAGAATCATTTTCTTTAAATATATTAACGCGACATTATTTAATTAACTATAACAGCACATAACAATTAAATTAAGGGTAGTAAGCTGCAAGAATTATATTAACACAACCTAGTTTTAGTAGTGATAAATGTCGTGTCCATTAATGTGCTGACAATTTTGCTAGGTTTAAAATTATGAAACTAACGTAGCATGTTAATAGCTTAAAACTGTGTAATAGATTATATTTTATTAAATTGGTTAAGTGTAAAAAAACAAAATTTGTTCATTTTTAACAGGAGGAATTACAAAGCTCAACCTACGTGACCCCTATTGCCAAAAATGACCCAGTATACTACAACACAAACTGTGGTTTGCTGTACCCGATCAGGGAGGATCTAGTTGGTCATTTGATATTTTACCTACAATTGTCGTTTGATTCTTACAGATCATACACCAGCAACAAAGTCAGCATTGAAATAGGTAATTTGTGCTTAAATTGAATTCAAATTCAAATAAACTATCATTATATATATATATTATATATATATATATATAATATATATATATATATATATTTATATATATATATATATATATATATATATATATATATATAATATATATATATAATATATATATATATATATATATATATATATATATATATATATATATATATATTGTAGATATATCTAGAAATATATATATTGTAGATATATAAATATATATATATCTATCTATCTATCTATCTATATATATATATATATATATATATATATATATATATATATATATATATATATATATATATATATATATATATATATATATATATATATATATTCAGACGCGCCAAAAGCAAAGTTGTTGGATAACTGTTTCTCTGTGAGAGAGGACAACGTTTTCTGGCCCAATGAGACCATCCACTGTACCTGTGAAATTAGAGACATTGATAATAGTACAATGGATGTCCATTGGATTGAAGTCAACTCACCTAGAACCAACCATTATAGCAGCACTCTGAACATCAATTACGATGGTTAGTGTACACATATTTGTTGTTGTTTTGTTGAAGGTGTGTTATTGTTTTTATTTACTCTTGATTGCAATCGCACTTAATAGTAGCTGACTGTGATATAAACAAAGTTAAGTTTTCGTCCAAGACAATATTTTTGTTTAAATTCTGATTTACTAATATATATATATATATATATATATATATATATATATATATATATATATAACGCATTTTTCCCCAGATAAGGACAAGACGTTTATGTGCATAGGGACCAGCAGTTTAGGAAAAATATACAATATCACATACACGCCGCTTTTTGCATGTATGAACGTTTAAGTCTACAAAATATGCATAGATATAATTCTTATAAATCGTGAAATGAACGTATTTAGCCTACGGCCAATAGTTATTTTAAAATATTGTCTAGATTTGGGCACGTATGTAGAGTAAACATCTTGATTCAAGGTGTTACTCTCATCCCTTAGATGTTTAACATTTACAATTTTCTTGTAGATGCCGCTGAAGTGTTACATTTCACCGCAAACGGAGAAAGAGACCTCAATGTTGAGAACGCCACGGTTGTGGAGTTTAACTGTGAGGTGGACAGCAAACCACGTGGTACAGTTTACATCACTGACAGCTCAGGTCAACGACTGGACGATACATCGAAACTTTTGACCTGCGATGACACGGGGACCTACACATGTCAAGCGTTCAATGAGATTTTCCCCAATGACATATCAAGACAATATGTTCATGTAACTGTTAAATGTAAGTAAAGGAATAACTATGAAATGTAAGGAAAGAAGTGTGTTACGTAAGCAAAGAACTATTGAAGATAAGTTTATATTGAACGATTACATGTAAGGAAACGGAGATCTATTGAATACTAGTTACCAAATAACTATTTTTAGAGAGCAGCCGAATATAAGTTAATAAATGTGAATGTAAAAAAAAAATGTAACTTTTAATTGTATGAAGTTTAAAAAACCTGTAATGTAAGATATTAAAAAAACTGTTAAAAGCATTTTAATCAAAAATTATTTATATTACTATATTAAAATAATTTTGTTAAGGTGTTCATAGGATTAAAGAAAACAGCCCTATTATCCAAACATGTACTTAATTTTTTTCATTTCTAAACAAAAATCACAGGCAATCATTGGCTAGGATTGATCAACACGGGCTCCAAATCTCACCAAGTATATGCAGATTCTGGCACCAATTTCAGCATCGAGTTTGAGCTGAGCATGGGAAATACAGATATCGCAATGTATACAGTTATGAAAGATGGTATGCAGAAAAAATTGAAGGCGCGTAAAGATAAACCTTCGGCAAGTGGTCGCTACCTCATTGAATTCACACCCTTGAGCGAAACACATTACAAAATTACATTGAATATTTTTGATATCCAGAGTTCAGATTTTGGATCGTATACTTTTAAAATTTGTGACGAAGACGACGATGAAGTAGTTGATGCATTCGTGATTAAAGGTATTTTTGTTTCTTAATCAGCCTGTTATTAAAGAAATAATTAAATAGAAAATAGAAATTAAAAAAAAGAAAAACTATGCTTAATATTTTATTTTTTTTGAAAAGTCATAGTGTGTATACAGTATTAGGAAACAAATTACTGTAATTTTGTTTAAAAATTAAAAAAAAAACAATTTTTACGGAAAATATTTCAAGTTTACTTTTGTGATCAATGTTACCTTTAATTTTTACTTTATAATATCATAAATGTAACCTTCGCTAGGTTCATGTGTGAAAGTTTAAAGCTTTGCCATGTTCTTACAATAACAAGTGTTTCAATCATAAAATAATATGTAAAATTCTTATATAATATATACACAATGACTTGCAAATATTTCTATTTTTTTAGAGATAAATGCTGAGGCAGAGTGGTATTCTTATTCGTATCTAGCAATGGCAATCACAATAGGGTTAAGCATGATTGTTTTATGCTTGGTTTATCTGAAATGCACAAAACGTAAGTATATCAAAAAACAGTTGTTAAAATTAGTGTTTTTCGTAACTTGCAATGGGTATTAAAGCAAATTTAAGCGGGATTATTTTTTTATGCTTCTTCTACTAAATTCTGTTCGTGCACAAGACATATTGACAATGGCATATGAAGGGGATAATGTGGTCAACATTGTCCCGGCCACCTGGGTTGGCTCAGTGACGTATTACTAATTTGAACCCGGATTCAAACTCGAGACTCTCTGGTTAGTTGTTTAGCTCTCTATGCCACGCCGTTCCTATCTAAAACAGCTAACCCTACAAGACATAAGTGTTAAATGTAAATTTGATAAATATGTAAAATGGCAAATATAAGACAAAAAATACACATTTTATTTTAATTGTATTTCTTGTATTTATTTTCACCAGGAAATCATGCAAACATAAGGTAACTTTTAAAATTGTGGTACAAATTTTCATAACTGTGTATATCCGTATAGGGGCGTCCATAAATGATGTCAGCCTTGTAGCGGGGAGGGGGATCCGAAACTTTGTGACAGTGTGTGATGAGAGGGAGGGGGGATCGGGGTTTAGATGGTGTGACGTCTCCCTTTTGCATTATAAAAAAAGTAATGTTAGAAAACGAATTTTAGCCGTTATTTCCCGTTTTAAGAAAAATTCAACTGCAATTGAGAAGGTTGTAAGCTTAGCTGTAACGTCATTTTAGGGGGGGGGGGGGGTCTGGCTTTTTGTGACGATTTGTGCCGGAGGGGAAGGGGGGAGGTAAAAATCGTCCAAAAAGGGTGGCGTCATTTATGGATGACCCGTACACTCTAAAAGAGAAGCAATTTAGCGTTAAGGATTTTTTTTATGTATTAGCACTAACATTTACTGTAGCACTAAATACAATAATACCATAATATGTGTTTCAGAGCTGACAAAGGCATGATGAGCAATGGAAAAAACGTATTTACAGATAGCACCAGTAAGGCATAAAGGACATTTATTTCACGTTGTCGCAATGACATATCAAAATCTTTTGATTTTCGTAAAATTCACGTTTAAGTATAATCTAGTTTTATATTTTAACTTACCAAATGATGTATTTGATCTTGATCGCGCCTTGAATGTGTGCGTGTGCGCTTGTGCCTGTATGTGTGTGTGTGTGTCTGTGTGTGTGAGAGAGTCTAGAAGTAAAAAAATGTTGTTGCAAATCTATAACAAAATAGAGATGATTCAGCGCCGCCGAAGTAATAATTTTATTTCGAAGTATTTAATGATAAACTATGGATAAATATTTGCTATTTTTTAAAAATAAAATACATTTCTTTGTTGAGGATTTTATAATGTTAATTAACAAAAGGCCGTGGGAGACGTTGAGGCAAATTGACGGGGAAGCAGCTGGCAGAGGCAGGACTGTCATGGTGAACTGTCAGGAAGATTGCAGGAGACCGACAAAAGATGAGGGAGTTTTCTGTGGCGAACGGATGAGTCTTGGGCACAAAAAGAAAAGATGATGATTAGAATCTTGAATTTTATAAACTTGAAGAACATATTTTTTTAATGTATTTTCTAGGAATGGTAATTGTACCAAACACTGATGATACATTATTTTACTTGCATTTAATACTGAGTTATGTCGTCATTTTATAGTTTACTACGGGAATATGTTTCTATTTCTGATTATTTATTTTATTGCAACATAAATTTTTAAATTGTTTTTAAGATTTGAATGTTTTGCCTTCGGTTTCCATTTGAATTTCGGATAGAAAGAAGCTGAACAGTAACCAGTGATGTTTGAATTTTGTCTTGCGCTGAGTCAGTTAGAAATTATTTTTTTAGGGCTGAAGATTGCGTGTGTTTTGCCGCATTTCACAAACGTTACGGAAACTAATATTTTACTCTACAGATTCGACGATCACAAACCAGGATATACGAGATAGACCTCAAACTCAACCACAATCTTATCCAGGTATTGTATAGGCCTACTTGGTTTTTTTTTTTTTTTTTTTTTTTTTTTTTTTTTTTTTTTTTTTTTTTTTTTTTTTTTTTTTCTTGGATACCTTTAATTTGTATCGTTTGTTTCAACTTCTACGAATCTAATACTAAGTAATCCTTGGCAGTTTACACGTACCTTTTTGTTTTGTTTCATTCATCATTCATGTCTTCAGTACTAGTTTCTGGGACATTTTTTGAAATACATTTTATATCCAACGAATAAAATTAACACTTATGCATATTCATTATTAATATTTTATCAATATTTGTAAAAAAAATATATATGCTCCTATATTACAGCACACAATTGTTTTAAAAAGTAACTGATTTTATTTTTAAATTGTTTTCTTATATATATATTTATAAGTATGTTTAATTCTATTCCACAGAAGCTCACGTTGTTAACTCCAGTTGCACTACAATCTACGGTGAGGGCATACGCTAATTAATGTATGTGTCTTGTTTTGGTCCAAACAGTTTCATATTTATTTGTATTTTATTTTGTATAGGGGTTATATCCCTGAGAAAGTGACGCACAAGATAATACTTAATAAAATATTTAAAATTATATTGTGGTGGAAAGGTTAATTCACCGTAATATTTACGTGTCGACAAACGAGATACTAAAATAGTTAATGTAGTAATAGAACGAACATTTTAACTGTTTTTAGTGGAAACTATTTTTGTGTTATATTATTTTGTTCTCTTCATGATATATACAAATATACATATTTTATCGAATGAAATATTACCTACATATGTATAGAACCTTTGTATATTCTGTGTTGTTTTAAAACAACATTTTATAAACAAAACAATAAACTTGATAAAAACTCACCATAAAGGACATTTAAAAAAACAACCGTCTCCATCGAATGAAATATTACCTACATATGTATAGAACTTGTGTATATTCTGTGTTGTTTTAAAACAACATTTTATAAACAAAACAATAAACTTGATAAAAACTCACCATAAAGGACATTTAAAAAAACAACCGTCTCCATCGAATGAAATATTACCTACATATGTATAGAACTTGTGTATATTCTGTGTTGTTTTAAAACAACATTTTATAAACAAAAAAATAAACTTGATAAAAACTCACCATAAAGGACATTTAAAAAAACAACCGTCTCCATCGAATGAAATATTACCTACATATGTATAGAACTTGTGTATATTCTGTGTTGTTTTAAAACAACATTTTATAAACAAAACAATAAACTTGATATAAACTCACCATAAAGGACATTTAAAAAAACAACCGTCTCCATCAGATCACATGACTATTTCCAAACTAAGGGCTAGAGAAGAATAAAAGGCAACCACTGGCCTAACACCATCCAGGGTAGATGGGCATGGAAACAGTTTCCGAAATAATCGAAAAAGAAAGAAGGCTGGCGCTGGTTGGGGCATGTCCTAAGAATAAATCCAGATCATATTACATGAATGACGCCAAAATGGACGCATCAAGGAAACAGAAAGCATGGAAGGCCGTGGGAAACGTTGAAGCAAATTGACGGGGAAGCAGCTGGCAGACTCAGGACTGTCATGGTGAACTGTCAGAAAGATTGCAGGAGACCGACAAATGTGTGTGGGGGGGGGGGGGGAGATTTTTTTGTGGCGGCTGGATGAGTCTTGGGCACAAAAATGAAACAAAAATATTATTAGAATCTTGAATTTCGTCAACATGGAGAAAAAAAATTGTATTTAAAATGTACTTTCTAGATGTGGTAATTGTACCAGACACTGATGATATATCTTTTTTACTTGCATTTAATACTGAGTTGTCTTCAATTTGAGTTTAGTACGGGAATTCGTTTCTATTTTTTTTAACATTAAAGCTTTAATGGTTTTTAAGATTTGAATATTTTGAATTCGGTTTTTCATGTAAATTTTGAGTAGAAAGAAGCTGAACAGTAACCAGTGATGGTTGATTTTTTGTGTTGCGCTTAGTCAGAAATTATTTTTTAGGGATGAAGATTATGTATGTTTTGCCGCACTTCACATACGTAATTGAATCTAATATTTTACTCTACAGAACCGACAGAGGAACAGCATACTGAACCAAAATGTTTTGTATCCACGTAGTTTTTTACTTTCTCGTATATACGTAGTATAGAGAAAGTATTGTAATCGTGAAAAAAAAAATCGAGATTTTTACAAATCTCGACGTTTTACACCTCACTGATACGGACAAACATAATTTTGCAATCTTGTCCGTATGTCTGTGTGTCTGTCCGTGTGTAAACACGATAACTTGAGTACCGTTACAGCTAGGTTGATGAAATTTCATATATAAGTATTTAATCAAAATCGTAGATCCGTATCAACTTTTGAGCGATTTCCGATAACCGGAAGTGGTACTTTTCCTACTTTGAATTTTTCAAAAGCCTATAACTTGAGTACTATTTCAGATAGATAAATGAAATTTCATACGTAAGTAAAAGATCTAATTCTCTACCTTCTAATAAATTTTGAGTCATTTCCGTTGACTGGAAAGAGGTACTTTACGCTACTTCCGATTTCTAAAAAAACTAATGTAAATTTTAAAAGTAATAATAATATTGTGCACTATTATGCGCTTTTTTATTTGGCGTTCACTTGGTGTGCAATTAATTTGTCTACGAGATTTTATTCTATTTTTAAAACTTTAAGTATTTAAAATGGATTAAAAATCATGTCTATAGCCCGAGTTCCCATCCCCTGTTATTTTATATAAGAATATTCGAGAAAGTTTAGGGGAGATCACTCCCGGTTTATTTTTTTTGAAAGCTGTAATTTGTGTCGTTTGTTTTACACATAATTCGACGAATCTAATATTAAGTAATCTTTGGCATTGTACACGTAAATTTTGGTTTGGTTTCATTAAGGTCTTTAGGGCTAATTATAGTATTTGTTTCTAGAACATTTTTTAAAATACATTTTTATATCCAACGAAAAATGTTAACACTTATGCATGTTCATTATTAATATTTGTAAAAAAAATTATGCTTCTATATTACAGCACACATCTTTTTTAAAGTTACTGCTTTTATTTTTAAATAGTTTATATATAAAAATAAATAGGTACATTCATTTTTATTCCACACAAGATTTTTTTGTTAACACCCGTGTGAATACTAATGAGACGGTCGACAATGAGAACAACAGCTAATTAATGTATGTGTCTTGTTGTGATCAACACATCATGTTTGTTGGTATTTTATTTTTGTCCTTGTCGTTTTATTCTTGTGGATATGATTAACGAGCTAATAAATAATAAAATATTTAAAGTTATATTGTGGTGGAAAGGTTATTTCACCATAATATTTTCGTGTCGACAAACGAGAAACTAAAATAGTTAATTTAGTAATCGAACGAACTTTTTAACTTTTTGGGTGGAAAATATATTTGTGTATATGTTCTTTTCTGGGTTTATACAAATGTACATATTTTATCGAATGAAATGTTACATATGTATATATGTATAGAACTTGTATATATTCTTTGTTGTTTTGAGACAACATTTTTATACACAAAACAACATTCTTCATGTACCATCATAGACATATAAAACCTGGCGTCCCCAATGATTAAAGAAATAGCACACAATTTTTTTTGCTGTATTGTATTAAAAGATTATTCTTCCTCATCTATTTCTATTGAGAAAATATTGAGGCATATTCAACACAATCTTCTTTTAAGTCAGATATTGTTTGTCTTTTGAGTTCTTCGCCCAGATCAAATTTAAAGCGATTTTTATAAAGCAATTAAGATTGTTGGCTGACAGAGCGTATGAATTGCGACCAGTAAGTCTAGTGTTGGATCCCGGAGTTACGGGTCATCCATAAATGACGTCACGCTTTTTTGGACGATTTTTACCCCCCCCCCCTCCGTCACACGTCGCCACAAAAAGCCAGACCCCCCCCCCCCTAAAATGACATCACACCTCAGCATACAACCCCCCCCCCCTCAAAATTGCTGTTGAATTTTTCCAAAATCTTGTCAGAACTCTGTCAACATAGAATATTTTGATCCATTCCTTTTAAAAATTATTAAAACAGTTTTCTAAAACGCTTTCTAAAACTCATTTTCTAACATTGCTTATTTATAATGCAAAAAAGTGACGTCACACCAACTGAACCCCCCCCCCCCCTACCCCTCATCACACACCCTCACAAATTACGGACCTCCCCCCTACGAGTGTCACGTCATTTATGGACGACCCCTTAGGAAAATTTTACCATAATTTTTCATTGTTCTGATGGATACCTTGTTTTAAATAAATCAATGTGCGTGTGAATAGATCTGACAAGATTACAAAAACAGATGAACTCTACTATATCTGCCTCTATCTAGTTTCAAAAACGTAACTCATAAAATTATTATTCTCCATGTGTTTGTCTATTATATGTTTATAAACGAACAAAATGTAATTTGGATAGGGACTTTTGCCCTTTTACGTGCTATATTTTTTCAAATGATAGTTTATATCCTTGTTTTATTTGTCGTTTGAGTCTGTGACCTACTTAGGTCCAGTAATGTTTTATTTTGACTTTGTTATAATACCATATATGGTTGATGGTGCAACAACCGGGTTTTTTCCACTGTCTTATTAAGAGTGTCTAAGACTCAGAAATTTTCCATCAAGATCTGATTGATTGATTCAGATCAGATGACCACCCCAACCAATGGCCACATGAGTTGAGGATAATCTCCCCTGTTGCCTAAGTCTATAACTGGATCGCACACAGGCAGCACGCGGCAGTCCATCTTGACCAGGCCGTCCATTTTGTCCGGCAATCCATTCTGACTATTTGAACGTGAGAGAGCTTAAGTACTGAGTGTGCTATGCATCCTTAAGTTGTTTAAGTATTCTAATATTATATTACTTGTCGCCAAGTGATTCTTGATGCTATAGCAGTGTTGTGTGACCTGTGGCTATTTTTATACAGTGTTAAAATCTGTGATAGTATTTTTCTCTTACGCTTTGTAAGTTGGGTTTTGTTATTTTCTAAATTAAATATTTTATCTTGTTTAACCTAGTGTTCTGCCACAACTGTGTTCGCTTATTAAAAGTTGTATGCAGATTGTATGAGTTGTTAACTTCAATAGTTACACTAGTTTTCCCTAGACATCGAAATCGAGCCCTAGTGTGTTGTTGAGTTAGTGTTCATTCATTTAGGCTTTAAGTCATCTGCATATAACCCCAAGAAAGAATCCGGGGGCGTTCACCATCTATCTGGCTGGTAGATAGGTGTCCGTTACAAAGTGGGGACTCGCCGGCATTTAATCGGTCGTTCCAGTTGTTGGTTGTATCAGTTAAACACTAAGTTTAGTTTGATTTAGTTGTTTTTCTATCCAGTGGAGCCGTGTTATTAAAACGCGCGCAAGGCTAGAATTATCTAGGTCAAAAGCCAGACGTGCCACGTCCTAGATTGAAGAGGTCAAGTTCATAACGCAGCGTTGGGCCGTGTTAATTTAGAGAATCTAGGCTTGTTTTGATTGTGAAGTTAGTGTTATGGAGTCTTTCTTATCTAATCCCACTGTTGAGGAGGTAGAAAAGTTGAGTAGGAAAGTTTTGATTAGTGTTGTTAAGGAATTGAAATTGGATTATTCTGTTACGCAGAAATCAGAGGTGTTGAGAGATAAAATTGTTGTTCATTTTATTAATGAAGGTGTATTTGATGAAAGTTTGTTGGCTGGGGTGATACTCCGTGAGGAGAAACCTCTAGAGAAAGTAGAATTAGAAGCTAGAATTGCTTTAGAGAAGGAGAAAGTTACTTTAGAGAAGGAGAAAGTTGCTTTAGAGAAGGCTTTAAAAGAAAAGGAATTAGAGGCTAAAATTGCTTTAGATAAGAGGAGGTTGGAATTAGAATTTGGTAAAGTTAGTGAAGTCACTTCTCTGGTAGATCCAAAAAAGTTGTCGGTGGGGCAAGTGAATGCCAAATTTGGGAAATTAGTTCCTCAATTTGATGAAACAGATTTGGTCGTTTTCTTTAACTCATTTGAGAGTTTAGCGAAGACATGTGAATGGCCCGAAACTTCCATTACTGCTTTATTGAGCACGGTCCTTACAGGGAAAGCTGCAAAAACATACCAGGCACTCTCTCACGACGTTAAAAAAGGCCTACGAACTGACGCCCGAGGCCTATCGGATAAAATTCCGAGCACTCCGCAAGTTACCCACTCAATCATATGTGGAATTTCTCTATGAAAAAGAGAAAATTTTCTCAAGGTGGCTACACTCTGAGGAAGTTTCTGAGTTTGAGAAACTCAGGTCACTTATCCTAAGGGAAGAATTCCTAAAGTCCCTGCCTGAAGATATACGACTACACATACTGGATAACAAGATAATTGACATCCAGAAGGCTGCTGAGTCGGCTGACACATATATGTTGGTGCATAAGAAACCACCAGTGTCAGGAAACCGCCTCAACCCCGTGCTTCCCCTTTTTGGCAGCAATCCTCCTGTTGGCCAACACTTAAAGGCATTACAGTCCAGAGAGAAACCAAGATCAACTCTCAATCGTCGAGCAGTATGTCAGTTCTGCAAGAGACCTGGTCACCATGTCAAGGACTGCTACAAGCGTCTTCAATTTAACAGAGAGGCGGTGCGTACTTCTGCGCACTATGCTCTATCCCCTCAAGCAGCCGGTTCAAATATGAACTCTAGAATTCTAAGGGACGCTAACCCTAAGTGTCCGCAGGAAGGCAGTCAAGTCTCCACACATTATGTGCAGTCACATTTTGACTGTTCACGCCACCATCCAGTTTCTTCCGAGTCTACCGATCTCGAGGGATCGAGAAAGGTTGACTTTTCATCTTTCATTACCGAAGCTATCATTAGCAAACCAGGTGATCCGTTGTCTCAGCAGAATATCACCGTCCTAAGAGACACAGGAGCGTCACAGTCACTTCTTTTGAAAAGTTCAATGGACATTACACCGGAGACGAACACCGGAAATGTTTCCATTATCCAGGGAGTGGGGACAAAATCTACTGTCGTCCCTCTACACAAGTTTGCCCTGAAACATCATCTCGTCGAAGGCGAAGTCATTTTAGGTGTGATAGATAGTATTCCTGTACCAGGAGTACACCTACTTCTAGGGAATGACCTTGCGGGAAGCAAAGTATACCCCTGTACGGTTCCAAACCCTTTGTCAACAGTTCCAGATAATGATAATGAACTGTATCCTGCCTGTGTGGTGACAAGAAGCCAGACCAAACAATTGGCTGACACAACGTCTGAACCACACCTACCATCATCGTCAAGAAATTCGACTCCCAAACTGGAGTCTATGCTTCCAGAGAACACAAGCCTGGGCTTACCCCTGAGGATATCTCAGGAGGACATCATTAAAGCTCAACAAGTCGACGCGGAACTCAAAGCAATGGTCGAAAAATCTCTCTCATCTGACGATGGAGAATATTTCTCCGAGAACGGCCTCTTCTTTCGTCGCTCTGTACCAGTGGATGCCTCACCTACCGAACCATGGTTGGGTAAAAACCAGCTGTGGGTCCCTCCACCTTATCGGCATGAAATACTGAAACTGGCACATGACCATCCAATGTCAGCGCACCCAGGAGTCACTAAAACAGTGGCGAAGATCAAAGAACTGTTCTTTTGGCCCAAAATGAGAAATGATGTGTCGCGTTACTGCAAAAGTTGCACGAACTGTCAGTTGGCCGGAAAGCCAAACCAGAAAATTCCTAAGGCCCCTTTGAGTCCGATTCCTGTATTAGAAGAACCCTTTTCTAAAATCGTCATGGACTGTGTAGGTCCCTTGCCTAAAACCAAGGCGGGCAACGAGTACCTACTTACCTTTATGTGTTCAAGTACCCGTTTTCCCGAGGCGTTCCCCTTACGGAACATTAAGGCAAAGACTGTAGTCAGAGCCATGACCCGGTTCTTCACTACCTTTGGATTACCTAGAATCGTTCAAACAGATCAAGGCAGCAACTTCACCAGTCACCATTTTCAGGAAGCGCTAGCCAAGCTAGGCGTTACCCACATCACCAGCTCAGCCTACCACCCTCAGTCTCAAGGCGTACTTGAGAGGTTCCACCAAACCCTAAAAACCATGCTAAGAACATTCGCTAAAAGTAACACCCAATGGGATGAGAATGTTCCATGGATTATTTTCGCCGCAAGAGACTGTGTCCAGGAAGCTTTAGGTTACTCTCCTTTTCAACTTGTGTTTGGACATTCTGTCCGTGGTCCCCTGAAGCTGATCCACGAACGTTGGACAGGTACCAGTGATTATCCAGTGGAAAACTGACGATTTTCACGTTCGACTGAAAGCCGTGTGCGAAATGGCTCACAAGAACTTAAGAAAGGCCCAAGTGAGAATGAAAGGACTGTATGATAAGAGTTCTCGTAAACGAACATTCAATCCAGGCGAGAAAGTTCTTGTGCTAGTGCCTAATCTGAACAATGCGTTATCCTTAAGATATTGTGGACCCTTTACTGTGCATTCAAAATTAAGTGATTTGAACTATGTTGTCAATACGCCAGACAGGAGAAAGAAACAGACAGTGTATCATGTTAACTCACTGAAAAAGTATTATGATAATTGTAACAATTTTCATTCCACAGCTAAAATTACTTTACCTGTATGTTCAAATGTTTCTGATGATGTGATACATGATAAATTGAAACCCCCAAAATTGGTAAATTCTTCCTTTTTAGATCATCTAAATGACCACCTTATGCATTTGTCCACAGAGGAAAGCCATAAATTGTCTCAATTATTTGAGACATTTCCCTCTATTTTTGGGGATGTCCCCAAAGAAGCGAAGGTACCACCTCATGATGTAGACGTAGGTGATGCAAAACCCATCAAACAACACCCCTATAGAGTTAACCCGGAAAAAGCTGTTTTGATAAAAGATGAAATTGATTATATGCTCAGGAATGATATCATTGAACCTAGTTTCAGCAACTGGAGTTCCCCATGTCTTTTAGTCCCGAAAGACGGTAGATCTTTCAGGTTTGTGACCGACTTTAGGAAGGTAAATGCGCTCACCAAAGCTGATTCCTATCCATTACCTCGGATAGAAGACGTTATTGATAAAGTTGGTCAAGCTAAGATAATTTCCAAAATTGATTTACTTTCAGGATACTGGCAAATCCCCTTATCTGACCGTGCAAAAGAAATATCTGCTTTTGTAACCCCTAATGGTTTTTATAGATACAAACGTATGCCCTTTGGTATGCGAAATTCTGGTCAAACTTTCCAGCGGGTCATTAACTCTGTCATTGCTGACATAGACCAATGTGAGGCCTACATAGATGATATAGTTGTATTTTCTAATACTTTTGATGAACATATTGTTCAGTTGACTAACCTTTTTAGAAAATTGTCTGAAGTGAATTTTACTGTAAACCTGCATAAAAGTGATTTCTGTAAAGGTTAAATTACCTATTTGGGTTATCAAGTGGGAACGAACCAAGTCAGGCCCATTGAAGCTAAAGTAGATGCTATTGTAAAGTTGCCTCCTCCCAAAAATTGTAAAGAAATCAAAAAGTTCCTTGGGATGGCTGGTTACTATAGGCGGTTCTGTCAAAACTTTTCAGCTGTTGCTGAACCTCTTACTGCATTATTGATAAAGGGTGTTGAGTTTGAATGGTCAAATAAATGTCATGAAGCTTTTTTAACCATTAAGTCATTTTTATCTAATGCTCCTGTTATGGCTGCACCAGATTTCAGCAAGCCCTTTAAACTTGCCATTGATGCTAGCAACTTAGCCATTGGCTCAGTCTTATTTCAAGAAGACAACATGGGGATTGACCATCCAATTGCTTTTTTTTTCCAGGAAGTTAAATGAGAACCAAAAGAATTACTCTACTATTGAAAAAGAAGCTTTAGCTTTGGTTTTGTCCTTACAACATTTTGAAGTCTATGTCACTTCTTCAACCAATCCAGTCAGAGTGTTTTCTGACCATGATCCCCTGAAATTTACCTCTAAGTTAGGACAGAAGAACCAAAGAATATTGAGATGGTGTTTATATTTCCAAAATTTTAATCTGGAAATTTCACACATTAAGGGTATTGATAATGTTGTGGCTGATTGTTTGTCAAGGATGTAAAATCTTATTACACACATTAATCATGTGACATGTTTTGTGGTTCATTAGGACCATACACAAGTGTTTTGTTTAGGTGACACTCACATGAATGTGAGTGGTATGAGTTTTGAATTTTCTTCAAAATGACAATCATGTTTCATATTTTGTTTATTTTCAGGTGAACCTTAATTAAAGGTGGTTTTTCTTTATATGTAATCTTCTATGATAATATGTCTCATATGACTCAGTTGATATTGTAGCTAGTCATTGAAATAAAGGTTTTACCCTGGCGGGTTTACCACTTTTAGTATCCACATGGAAATATTGTAATACCCTTTCTGAGGGATTTTGATGTATAATTATTTTTTGAAGGGTTACTCCCCTTTCACAAATTGTAAAAGTTTGAGTTGCTTCCCTTTTGTTTCCAGGGATGTTTTCATCTGGTATTAAGATTTTGATTGCCTACATTTGTAAAACATTTTTTTTTTATTTCATTGCCAGATTGGTTCCTTATGTATGTTTTTGTGGAACCTATCTGTCACTTCCAAAAAGGGAGGGGATGTGACCTACTTAGGTCCAGTAATGTTTTATTTTGACTTTGTTATAATACCATATATGGTTGATGGTGCAACAACCGGGTTTTTTCCACTGTCTTATTAAGAGTGTCTAAGACTCAGAAATTTTCCATCAAGATCTGATTGATTGATTCAGATCAGATGACCACCCTAACCAATGGCCACATGAGTTGAGGATAATCTCCCCTGTTGCCTAAGTCTATAACTGGATCGCACACAGGCAGCACGCGGCAGTCCATCTTGACCAGGCCGTCCATTTTGTCCGGCAATCCATTCTGACTATTTGAACGTGAGAGAGCTTAAGTCCTGAGTGTGCTATGCATCCTTAAGTTGTTTAAGTATTCTAATATTATATTACTTGTCGCCAAGTGATTCTTGATGCTATAGCAGTGTTGTGTGACCTGTGGCTATTTTTATACAGTGTTAAAATCTGTGATAGTATTTTTCTCTTACGCTTTGTAAGTTGGGTTTTGTTATTTTCTAAATTAAATATTTTATCTTGTTTAACCTAGTGTTCTGCCACAACTGTGTTCGCTTATTAAAAGTTGTATGCAGATTGTATGAGTTGTTAACTTCAATAGTTACACTAGTTTTCCCTAGACATCGAAATCGAGCCCTAGTGTGTTGTTGAGTTAGTGTTCATTCATTTAGGCTTTAAGTCATCTGCATATAACCCCAAGAAAGAATCCGGGGGCGTTCACCATCTATCTGGCTGGTAGATAGGTGTCCGTTACAAGTCTATGACAAACACATAGTAGACGGTCTACGTTAAGTAAAATCTAACATATAAACTTTGTGTCGCAGTTTGCTTTTATTTCCAATACCAGATTTTTATAAACTACATGCGATAAACAAATTATTGTAAGTAGTTAGATGGTATAACAGAAAGTAAAATGGCCTTACGGTAATGTGCCTGTGAATTAGAGTTCGCCTGTTTTTGTGACCTCAACGTATGCACAATAGTGAGGTCGGCAATATACTCAGAATATGCAGGCTACTTTTCCTAACTAGAGTTGGGTACAAATTAGAACTGGGTCGAGTCATAATCGTCATACAGACGTAAGGCCGAAACCCAAACTTGAGACTTTCAGGCTAGGAGTCGAACGATCTACCAAACGAGTCCCTAAAAGTTAGAGCGGATAAAATCCAAACTGGTTTAGTTCAAATTAAAACTTACATCAGAAAATGCGCTCTGTATAACAAAATATGAAACTTATCTTACCACCACATACACTTATTGCAATACTTGTTCTCAAATATAGACCTACAGTAATTTACTGCTTCTTTTAAGTGTAAGATTATATTTTTGGTATTTAAAATGTGCAGTTTATGGCAGTGACTATTAAATTGATACTAATGCGTTATGTGTTATGATCATTTTTGCTGTGTTTTTATGCATAAGAAATACACTGTCATTTTATCGACAATTATAATGTAGTATTATTATTGTGTAGTTATTTGAAATATATTTCTGAAATGTGTATCAGTCTGTCACTCATATATGTTACCAATAAACTATTTTACTTCGATTATATGTTTGTATTGTTTTTAATTTTGAATTGTATTTCAGTACCTTTATATTGGAAATCTTTGAATGTAGATGCTAAAAGACACGTAAAACTATGGATTTATTAAAATTGTAATGAAAATATGAAGACCCACATTATTTAAACAAAGCGTAGCAAATAAAGTAAAAAGTAGATTGCACATAGATTAATTCTCTCTATTGATATCTGGCCATATGTGTTAATGATTATATTTGGATAAAAAGGGTTAAAGGGAAATAACCATCATGTATTTCAATTTACAAAAAAAAGAATACATATTACTATTATTTTACAGTCAATTTTATCAAGTATTCTACAAATTAATGTCATTCTGACCGCTTTATTGTGTTTTATACTTAAAATAAAAATAACAATTTAAATATTGTATAAATTAATTAACCAGATAACCATTATCATTTTAAAATATCAAATGTTTACACTTCTAAACATTACTTACAATCGATGTTCAGTAGATATGTAACATTGTGGTTACAATGTTTTCTTTTTACAAGCTTATTGCCTAGCTTTCTTCCACCGTCAATTTTTCTATGTGTTTGTGTATGTACATGTCCGTCGTCCTTAGTGGATTAAAACTGCCTATCAAACTGACCGATTCATTACTAACATTGCACTTGGGACTAGATCCGATGACAATGCAATTTGACATGAATTTTGATTTAATTGACCGCCTAATTTAATATTTACGAATTAATAAAATTTACCAAATAAAGTAGGCGAACCTACTATAATTCGGTACTATTACTGACGCATTTTCATGTTCATTTCGTGCGAAATAGTTTTATCATGAAACTCAATGGTTTTTAAATAAAATTAAAGTACTGAAAAACAAATGCATAAAAACGTTTTAATTTACAATAATAAGTTTTTTTATGTAAAAAATGATCACACAGTAAAGCGATAGAGGAAACAGCCTTTGGTATCTTAATATGAGATAGATGAAAGACAAAATTTCTCACTCAATACGCGAGCAAACATGCCTAAATGTTGCTGAAAAACAGTGGCAAAACAAAACTAAATGTTGCTGAAAAACAGTGGCAAAACATAACTAAATGTTGATGAAATAGTAGCTCCAAAAGTCTTACTGTTTATTCTGCTGCCAAAAAACTTCAGCTAAACACGAAACCAACAAAAAATGTTACAATCAAAGCAATGAAAACCAGAAAATTACTTTCTATTAGAAGTTTTCAACAATCGCCATCACGGAAAATACACTGAGTACGATTGAGAAAAAAATAACATTCGAGAAACATGACCAATCATTAAGGAGTAATTAAGGAAATAAAACCAATGTGCCGATATTTAACGATTATGATCTTGTTTATTATGTGCTAATGTATCGTTTAGACCAGCACGCTCTACAGTTTTAAAACCACAGGTCGAAATAATAATAACAAACAGTCCTTTCATTGCATTTGCAATTGTAAATTTACCAGACAATTGTGTTTCTCTAAAACCCGGGGTTATTTAATAAAATAATTTGCTTTTGATCCAAGGCATGCAAAAATTGAACATATTTATTTCATATTAATGTGTTTGGATTATATTTGCTGCATACTCGATTGAAATATATTTGGTGAAAATAAATTTACATTCATTTTTCGGCGAGAAAAAACTAAAATTTTTATTTCGTGTGTATAAATTCATAGCATTCTAAATAAAAAAAAGGCAAAGAACAATAAAAAAATTGCAATCCTCCATAATAGCCATCTGATGTTTATTCAAAGATGTTTACTCAATCCAGAATGTTTTATTAAATCATGACAAAGCACACTCATCAACAAATTTTTACTACATAATAAAAAAAACGATATGTATATGGCTAATCTAGAAAATTATATATATATATATATATATATATATATATATATATATATATATATATATATATATATATATATATAAAACCACATTACTGTTTCTCTCCAAAGCTAGTATACATAAAACTTTTACTGCTGGTCTCTACAAACATATTTTGGATAAAATGTCTCATAAGCATATACATTTTTTACAGTGTAAATTTTAATGTTATGAATTTCATACACACAAGCATAAATTAGACGATGTATACAACACACGAACTTGCTCATTTCTACGGCAATCAGTTTTTGATTTATATATCTAATAACCTATTTCAGAATTTTACATAAGGTTTTATATATTTGAAAATTATAAACAAAATAATAAAAGTAATCATTGAATCACGTTTTTATATTGTTAAAAGGTAAAGACGATAATTCACGGGTGTAATTAATGTTTTTAAACCATTCATCTTTTAGACAATCTTGCATAAAGCATTTAATGAAACAAAATAAATAACCACAATGCACAGAGCTGCAATGAGTTGAAATTAAACGTATAATTTCTCAATGCACATTTACTTCGTGTGTCCAGGTAAACAAAGAAGGACAGCATGAAGATCATTAGTAAATATGTTTATTGTTTACATGGCGGTAGGTCTAAGTGGAGCCATTTGTCAACATTCACAATTGAAGGAATGAGACTTTACCAAGCCAGTACATATTTAATCAAGTATTGAAAATCTATATATTAAATCATCAAGATTTTTTAATTGGTGAGGCAAAGAATTTTTGTTGGCTTATGTAGATGTTTGCTGCAGTACCGAGGCATGCGAGGTTAAAAAATAATACAATGTTCTAATATGATCTTATAGGGTTACTGTTTTTTTGTGTTAACAACACCAGAATAACAAAAGGGTAATCAAGAAATCTGCGAGTAAAAGAATTAAAATATATTGATACTTAAGGGGAATGTCAAAGTATCGCGAGACACGATTCACCAGGTTTTGATAGTTCTCAGAAACTTTCCTCGCCGGTGTGGGAGGTGTCTTAATGGCACTGGCTGTTCTGTAATTTTTAAACAGAGCTGGTTTTGTGAGTTCTAGCCTGGAAGCTGCCTGTTTGAGGACCAGTGTGATGGCTTCTTTATTGTTTATTACAAATTTGTTTTTCATGAGCTTGGACAGGCACGCGGTGCTGATGTCTTTGAGAGAAATTGCTGAAAACAGCTGACCAAGGTACAACCTGCGAAGTGACATTTTCTCATCTTCTTCTGTTCCATCGTCCACCTTCTTACAAAGTGCATTACGAAGTACAGTATCCACCTGATCTACACGTAATTTCCTGATACGTTTATCTGGCTCAGGTGTGAGGTACGAGTCATCTGAATACGCCCATTTTAAAACGGAGTTCACGACAAAATCTTCGACAATTCCAAAGTGTTTTAAAAGATCTTTGAATTCTTCGAAAGGAATTTCCATGAAAGCGTCCGATCCGACAAACATTGGGTAATTATTAATAATAAATTGTTTGACTTTGGTTAAAACAACTAACGAATCCAAAAGTTTAGCGCCTTCATAAATTCCCCAGTAATTTTGTAATGTTATATTTTGTTTTATAAATTTTTCACATCTCGAAATTAAAAAATGGATCTGCAGTTGATTGGATGCGTGCCACATTTCAACCATGTTTTCTTCGTCTAAAACATCCGTTCCTTTGTAAATAACATCCAGTATAAGACCAAATATTTCTGGTGAGATGCCTTCTATGGTACAGCTTGATTCAGATTTTTCTCTCATATCTGTCCTCATGAGAGCCTCAAAGAAACCAGAGCCAGAACTTAGGACAAACTTGTGACAACTGAACTGGAAGTCGCCAACGTTGACCGTAAAATCGGTAAAATTTTCCATGTTTTTTTTCAAAACATCTAAACATGTCTTTTCCTATTTGCGCGTTGTAATGGCGAGCGGTGGATGTACTCTTATACATGGTGGTTTTAGATTTTATTTTTCTGCAAAAATTGAACAGTGTTTAAATTTTCATTTCTGTCTCCTCATACGTCATTCGCACAAAAGTAAGAACTTTAAAACAACGTTAAAATTTAATTTCTGGAAGTGTGTCTGTATATATGTATATATATATATATATATATATATATATATATATATATATATATATATATATATATATATATATATATATATATATATATATGATACTTGAAAAATGAATCAAACATGGAAGAGCTTCTTAATTCCAATTACAAAACATGGGCTGTACTGAATAAAGTTCAACAGCCAAAATGTACACATCAGCCTAAACAGATAGACTACAGATAATAATACGAATATTCAGTGCGCGGACTTTGGACCACAGGTGCTTTGACCATAGAGGGTTTGACCATAGGTGGTTTGACCGCAGAGGGGCTTTGACTATAGGGGCTTTGACCATTGGGGCTTGTCCACAGCTGGGCTTTGACCATAACGGGGCTTTGACCTTAGGGGCTTTGACAATAGGGGGTCCTTAAATTAAGGATACGTGTCAACTGGTTATGCGCCATTTAGGCCATTCACTCCGATTTTTCAACCTGCTTTTCTTTTTGGATTTGCTTCAATAGCCTTTGTCCAATAGATTTGTTAAATTTATTAGAATTATCATTATACTACTGACAACTGAAACAAAATTTAGAAAAAGGGTCAAAACAAATCTGGTTCATTTTCATCACCAGGGAATTGTTTGTTATTAACGGAAACAAACTGGCATTAACTAGGTCATGTTAGTATTTAATATACGAAATAAATATTTACAAATAAAAAAGTTGGGCCAATAGAATATTGATAGGGGTTCGTGGGTAATAAAAAGTCAATAAAAGTTTGTCTTTTATAAAATGTGATTAGTAGAGTAGAATATGTGAATAATGGAACTTGAAATACAAAGTAATAGCAAACAAATTATTAGGAGATCTAGATTTGCTAATTTATCAATCTTAATATTTTAAAATGTCAAATTACTATGTCTTATTTATTATGTTTAATTTTAATTTGTTTTATAATTTGTATGTCTAATAAGAAAAAATTATAATTTTTGGGGTATAAGTTAGTTCAGCAGTCTTGCCATTTGTCATCGTATTGTTAGAGTCATGTTTTATTATGTAAGCTGAACAGTACTCACAGTTTACTTTGTTTTATTAGCAACAATTACTTAAATAATGCTGGATAGTTACAAAAATTGTATAGGACTGTAAATGTTTATCAAACGTATTTCTTAGTCGCCATAAGGAAAAACAAAAATGTTCATTTCCGATTGCACCAAATTGTAATGTGCGGCGTTTGGGATACCCGAATATTTGGCAAATATTAATAATTGTTAAAAAAAACACATCTTAACATTTTTATTTTACTTCTACTTTTTTGCTAACGAAGTATAGATAAATTATTTGAAACGTGTAAAAACATCGAAATCGAAATTTTAAAGAATCTAAGGGTTGCACACCTGAGTCGGAAAAATGTAGAGTGTCGTCCTATATCTGTTTTTTTTTTTTTATTTCATAAAAAAAACGTTTTAATAACTAGCTTTTATGTACTAATGCACTAAAAAGTAGAAAATAAATGAGTTTCTTTAAATATATAGTAATATAATACACTACTATTTATATAACTATAAAGAAAAACGTGGGTCACTATATTATCTATTGTATAGTTTTACTAATATTTAGAAAGCGACCCACGCTTTTCTTTATATTTATATCAATAGTATTGTATTATATTATGTAACTGACTGTATTATTGGGTATTATTATTATACGAGAAAAATGGCCCGTTGAGGAAGGATACAACGGGCACTAGGCTGATAGTGCTGTCTCTTTTCTCTAAACTAAAACCACCCCCCCCCCCCCCATGCATACACCACCCCCCACCCCCACCTCCCAAAAAAACATGTCTACCGTCCCATTCAACGAAATATAATTATATACTTTTTCCAGTGTCCGCCCCCTCCCCGAAAATTCTACCCCCGCCCCCGAAAATTTCAAGTACCCCCACCCCTCTCCGGGGAGGAAAAGGTCTGAAAGAAACACTGGTGTCGCGCTTAGCCACTACCCGAAGAATTGCATTAAAGAAATTGCAAGAAAACCACTTTTTAGATTAGACACATTAATTAGGCGGTAATTTTATTATAGAGTATCGATGAAGAAATTTCTTTTGAGTTAGGGAGGGGGGGGCTCAGACGTTCTTACGCGGGGGTGGGGCTTCGCCCCTACCCGAAGAATTGTATGAAAGAAACTCTTCACGCAAACCACTTAGATTAGACAAAATTTCCTTTTTATTCAATGTTTACTCGAGAATCAATGACGTCATATTACTGTGTGCACTCTCCGGCTTGATATTATTTTCTACTCTATGACGTCATATTTCGCCAGCCGCTTTACTGTGAAGGTTTTTAAAATGCTTGTGTTTTCTCAAGAGCGTTCTTGTCAGACAGATAGATACATAGATAGATAGATAGATACATAGACAGACAGCGAAACTATTATTATAGATTGTATTTTAACATGAAGTTGCATGAATGTAGAGTACCTGGACAACGGAAGGACTGTCTGAGCGACTCGTCATGTTTTCCATGCATTTGTGAGATCACTCTCTGACGTAAGGGGAGAGTATGTAGCGTATAAAAAATTCATAAAAAACGTTTTAATAACAAGCTCTTATGTAATAATGCACTAAAAAAGTAGAAAATAAATTATAGACTACTATTAAAATAACTATAAAGAAAAGCGTGGGTGTCTTCCTTAACATTAGTAAAGGTATCCAATAGATACTAAAGTGACCCACGCTTTTCTTTATTGTTATTTAAATTGTAGTCTATAATTTATTTTCTACTTTTTAGTGCATTATTACATAAAAGCTTGTTATTAAAACGTTTTTTATGATATTTTGTTTCAGTACTTTAAATGTTTTATTTACAATAGAGTTACATGACTAAAAACCATTGCGCGCCTACTGATCGTGATGGCGCGCCTACTGAAGGTGATGGCGCAGCTATTGAACGTGATGACGCGTGTGGTGTGGTTGGATAGACATGCCTATTGTTTCGGTCCAAATTTTAATTAATTCATAAAAATTAATTAGGCATCCAATTAAGTCAAATTTAATTTCAGATTGCATTGTCTTCATGTCTTGACCCACGTGCCATTGGTGTCAGAAGTGGGCAACATATGATGTTACATTGGTGTCAGAAGTGGTCTTTCAATCAAACGTTGTCTTCAAGTCAGAAGGTCTACAGTAGTCTACAAGTTGTTACTTTATCAGAAGTGGACAACATATTAGTTGTTACATTATCAGAAGTGGTTAAAGAGGTTACATTGAAGTCAGAAGTATTCTACCACTGGATTACACTGAAGTCAGAAATGAACAATGGTGTTACAGAAGTGGTGATGGAAGTTACAGTGCTACCAGAAGTGATCAACGAATAGTTACATTATTATTGTCAGCAGTGGTCAACGGTTTTCTAATATTCTTATTAGAAATTGAAGTATTTAATACAATCAGAATCGGTTTTCCATAGTATTACAGTGATCAACGCAAGTGTAATAAGCAAATACGGGAAGTTATCCAGATCTACATTCAAATCAGAAGCATCAGTTTTTGTTAATTTGAAGTAACAAGGCACTACGGGAATCAAGTTCAGGTAAGCAACGTGATAATTGGTATCACATTATTTTCGACATTGTTATATCAATGTCGAATACAGATAGTTTGTAACAGGTTATTGTTACATCTACAAATATTTATTCTAAATTGGATTTAGCTGATCAATTATTCTAATTGGATTTAGCTGAGCAAGTATAAGTGTTTTTTTCTGTAAATGGATTTAGCAGATCAAGTGTACTATTTGTAACTGTTCCTAACTACTAAACTGTCTTATCTAAAACTAGATGTACAAGTTTTACTGTAAAAGGCTACTGGAACTTTTTGGAAATTGTTTAAAGTAAACGTTACTATTATTTGGACGTATACATACTATGAACATTCTCATGGATTACCAGATTCAAATATCAACTAACAAACTTCAAACCAAGAAAGGGTATTGTTACATCAATTACTATATACATTGTGAACTAATATTATTTGACTTTATATTTATGTCATAAATATATAGCAGATCAAGATGTCAAGTTTTGCAAAATATGTAGATCTAGCGAAGGAGCTAGGCATTCGGAAGGAAGACAAGTTGGCGTTTGTAAGAGAGCGAGAAGAAAAGGAAGAAGAAGAGAAAGCTGCTAAAGAGAAAGCTGATAAAAAGGTAGAAGAGAAGGCTAGAAAAGAAGAAGAGAAGGCTAAATATGAGAAAGAGAAAGCTGATAAAAAGGAAGCGGAAGACAAAGAAAAGGCTAGAACGTTTGAGATAGAAATAAGGGAAGAGAAGCAAAGAAAAGTGAGGATGACGGGAGAGCAAGGGATATAGAGGAATCCCGAAAAGCACATGAAAAAGTAATGAGAGAATTATACGCTGAGAAAGAAGAAGAATTGAAACACCTAGTATAAAATAGTGGGTGAACTTAATAATGATTTCAAGGTGATAGATGGATTAGAATGTCTTAAGATTGACTCTTTATTGACTGATACGCAGGTACACGAGAATATTATTGAAAGTTGTATCGTAAGTCCATCAGAGAATGGCAGTCACGATGATTTAATAAGTCCATCGGAGGATGTCAGGAATCATTATAAATTAGTCTATCGGATGACACAAAAATAATAATTATAAACAGGTCGGTCAACGACAGAATCAACAAGAATGAGAACGTATCTATAGAAGAATTACTTTCAAAATTAGAGTCAAACTTTAACGAAGATATACTAGAACTCACAAATAAATTTAACAAAGAAATTGAGAAATTAACACCGAATTTTATTTGTGAATTGAAATCAATAAAGAAGTAAAAAGAAGCTAAGAAAGATGAAACAAGAACCAGTAACTACAATTTAATTATAACACAGACTGAAACTAAAAGAAATTTATCAAGCTATGGATACAGTCACCATGATAAGAAAAAGCTGAAACCTAACAGATATTTTTACTGTGGAAAAACAGGTCATACCATGATCAATTTTGGTATAGATTGGCAAATCAGAGAAGGAACAATAATGTACAAAGAACTTCATGTGGTAAATACATCAGTAACAAGGATTTAAAAAACAAAGTTTGATCCGATCAGAACTACAATAGTGTGAACAGGTATACTAATGAAAGATACCAAATCAAGAAATATTATGAGAGACCAAGGCAATGCCATACTATTTGTATTAAGTTGGTTGATAAACCAAACAAACGAACACAAAGTAAGAAAAGTACTGACGTAAATCAGAAATTAGAGAAGAAAGAAGCATTACAGATACCCAAAGAGAATAAAGAAAACGTTAGAAATGAGAGTATTAGCAACAAAATAAATGAAGTCAGTCAAATTAAAAGAAACCAAGTAAATTGTTATGGCAGCAAAGCTAGAAGTTACACACAAGTGAAGGGAGAGATAGCAACCAGGTCATCATCAATTACAGAAGGCTTGAATCAAACATATGATTGTGAATTGATATAATGCTAAGTATCAAATTAATGCAATGTTGAATAATGGTTACAGTCAATACTGTAATATATTGATATCAAATAATTTATGTAAGTAACCATAATATGTGTACTATATCAAGAAAAATGTAAAGTGTATTAGGTTAAACATGTTCTATTCTCTTAATAAACAGTGAATAATGTAATCAAATAAAAGTTAGAGACTATTTATTCCGCATAACAATAACACGGAAGTATCAATGATGAATAATGTATTGGCCATAGCCTACTTATGGCAGGAATGTTGTTGGTGTGATGTGACCTAGATGTTACTTAAATGGGTAAACTAGGGGAGACAACAAGAAACTTACTCAATCGTGGTAATAGAATGCCTTGTTGATAAGGAAGGTTACCACTAAATTTGATATAATTATTTAATTTATGAGTTTAATTGAGTCTTGAGTATTTCAACCATGTGATTTGAATTTCAAAATAAAATAAGTCCTGTACTAGATTACTTTGGTGACTTAGTTTACTCAATTGATGTTGTTTTGTTTATACTACAGTTACTGGGTGATAAAAAAAATTTTCCCTATTTGAACATATGTATGTATTAACTATTACACATAATGCGTGTGTATTTAAAGTCTTTTTCCAAACACTGACACATTTTAATTATCAGGTTTGAATCATAATATGAACAAGGTGAATTT